TGATTTCACACTAAAACAACTCTATTGACTCCACTAAACATCCCCAATGTTCAGAATCATTTGAAGGTGTATTTAAACAAGCTTAGAAGCCATTGATCAACAACAAGAAACAACAATCAACAAAAATCAAGAGAGAATCAAAGAGAAAGCATCAAACCTCAAGTTTGAGCATTTTCAAGCCTATTTCATTCAATATTCATTTTTTCTTTCAAGAACACTTATTGTGCTCAATTGTATTATTCTTGAGTGTTCTTCCTTTGTTCTAGAATTGTGCAAACATCTTGCCTTTTGAGGATTTTCTTGTAAGTTTGCAAAATTTGTATTGTTCTCTTTGAGAGATAGTGTTCTCAAGAATTTGGGGTATAATTCTTGAGGGATTTGTAAGATTACTCTTTGTCCTCAAAAGAAAGACAAATTAGTGAATTTGTGGAAAATCCTTAGTGTGGATAGCTAAGGTAGTGGACGAAGACTTTGGTTGAGAAAGTTAAACCACTCTAAATCGCTGTGCAATTACTTTCAATTTTCTGCGAAAGCTTCCACCAAAATTTTAATTGCCAATTCACCCCCCTCTTGGCCGATTCCATCGATCGATTAACTCAACAATTTGTACCCATAATGCCAGTACATTAATACCAAAATTGTTCTATAATTTACACGGATTACTCATCCACTACAATTACGACAATTCACCTTATATATACATAAGTATTTCATTAATAGCATCCATTCATGTTTATCATGCACCATTATGCATTTTAAACTATAACATCTTTTCTGTTGATAATGCACCAATATGCATTTCAACTCTAGTATACTTTTCTGTTGATAATGTACCCATATACATTTCAACCATAGTATACTTTTCTGTTGATAATGTACCCATATACATTTCAACCATAGTATACTTTTCTGTTGATAATACACCCATATGCATTTCAACTCTAGCATACTTTTATGTTGATAATTTACCCATATACATTTAAACTAAAGTATGCTTTTCTGTTGATAAGGTACCCATATACATTTCAACCATAGTATACTTTTCTGTTGATAATACACCCATATGCATTTCAACTCTAGCATACTTTTATGTTGATAATGTACCCATATACATTTCAACTAAAGTATGCTTTTCTGTTGATAATGTACCCGTATACATTTCAACCATAATATACTTTTCTGTTGATAATGTACCCATATACATTTCAACCATAGTATACTTTTCTATTGATAATACACCCATATGCATTTCAACTCTAGCATACTTTTATGTTGATAATGTACCCATATACATTTCAACTAAAGTATGTTTTTCTATTGATAATGTACCCATATACATTTCAACTATGGCATCCTTTCATGCCAATAATGAACCCATATGCATTTATCTTTTATACTAATAATGCACCCATATGCATTTCAGCTTTGGCATGCTTTCATGCCAATGATGCACACACAGTGCCCATAAGTCATTCATAAACATATTATGAATTCCACGTTTTGTACATTCAGTGCCAAAACGGTTATTCATCCATATAGGATGAATTCCGTGAAATGCACACTTAGTGTCTGGTTTTCCTCGCTTAAATATCCAAAATGGGAAGATAATTATTCCGGAACTTGGAACTTGGCCCTTGCCTTTCGACTTACTCGACTCAGGAGCTTGTTTGCGATCTATACCATATTCATTAAAGACATGCATAATATCAATTGTTAGTATGCTTCCTAACAATTACAACTTAACATAAATCACAATATTTATTATTAACTTCCCATAACATTATCAGTCCCAACTTAACATTTCTGGCCCTTAGGTATCGATATCCCTGCTTATGGTATTGATACTACCTTATTAGGGTATCGATACCCCCTTCATGTATCAATACCGAAATTAGCTTCGATATAGCTGGTATCGATACACTCACCATGGTATCGATACCCCTATGCTATGGTACCGATACCCCCTCTAGGTATCTATACTCAAATTAGATTTGATGTTTACTGGTATCGATACCCTTACCATGGTATCAATACCACATTTCTTGGGTACCGATACTGGTTGAATCAGTATCGATACATCTTATATAATTTAGCCTAATTCTTGCCTAGGGTATCGGCATTGTTCCATAGGGTAACGATACCCCTACCCAGATTTTCTAGTTTTCCATTCGAAATTTTCCCAACTTTGGGCAATTTTCATCTCCTTTACCCCTAACAATACTATATAACACTTCTCTACTTAACCTTACTAACTTTCCTTCATTTAACCACTTAAAATATCTAATATTCCTCAAGATCATTTGATTCTTAGAATCACACCAAAATTTCCAACTTGTTTTTAAACTCATTCTAGGCTTCTAATCTTTCATTTACCTCATTGTCATTTCAATTTTACCAACAAACATTCATAAACACTCATATAGCAACATAACATTTTAAAACTCATTTCTTTAAATCTCAAATATTTTACTAATCACTTAATTTTAATCCCATTTAAACCATCCTTAAGCTTCCACATCACTTAAGGTTTCAAAACTATCTCATAATCGAAAGGAAAAATTGATAAATTGAAGTTTACCTTTTGAGCTATGGAGGAAAGCAAACCCACAGGAAGAAGAAAAAAAACCCAACTTGTTGCCTTCTTTTTCCCATTCTCTTAAATCCCTAATTTAAATGGGCTTTAAATTCATTTCACTCCAAAAGACCATAATGCCCTCTTTATTCATTTATTGATACAATTTAGTCTAACAATATTTCAAAATATTTCCTATATTTTATCATTTATTCAATTTAATCCTCCAATTTTACATCTTTACAAGAAAGTCACTGTCATGTTATTTGGGGTATTACATATTTAATCATTGACATATTGCTTTCAATAATGTTGTAGCACTGCTTGGTATTTCTTCATCTGATTTTTACTTTTATTTACTAGCTTGTTTCCTATCCCATTCACATTGATTTTTTTTAACTTTTTTGTAACAAAATGCTCTATGAGGGTTTGGCATCCGATATACTCTGTGTTTTTAATATTCCAGTAATAGTAAAAGATCAAATTGAATATTTCTTATTAGTCATAATTTCCAAAATAACTCAAAATAAGGTTATCTAAATGATGTTATCGAAAGCCGAAAATTCTTTGACTTTTTCTTAAGAATCTCTTAATCTTGGTTCATGGATTCACCAAATTAAAACAAGCATGGTAGAATTCGTGAACCAAAACATGATATAAGAAACTACAACCAAATTATATATATATTTTGCAACTTAAATTCAAGTATATCGATATAAATAACTATCGATAAGTAACAGCCACACAATGGCATATTCTTAAGATTTTGACATAAGGCTAACTCAAAGTTTATAAAACTATATGCACTCAATAATCTTTAATACAACTTTAATAGTATTTACACTTTTATTTCCATAATACTTCTAATATCTTATAACTATATAACATAACTAGTCAATTTATTCATATTTTATGATACAATATATATTGTACATATAATTATAGATTTTAATCCAGCAAGACTATTCAAGAGAGCCACAACTCACAGCATGTAGAACCGAGTATCGACCAATATTCCTGCAAAAACCAATAATCCAATTACCGTTACTATCACATAAAACCCCTCCACCTGAGGCTTCCATGGTCCTTGTGTTGACACCGCCGTCCGTGTTTAGCTTGAAACTTCCTGTGCTAGGAGGGTTCTTGCTTTGTCTGTTGTTGCCAACCGCATTCTGGGCGGTGTTCTTATGTGAATTATTCTTCACTATAACCGCCCAATATGTAGCAACGTGGATGATTTCATAGGTTGCACGGATTTGCCCCTTGAAGGTGAAATTATTCCGTTGCTTCCAGATTTTCTAAGGCAGAATTCCAAATAGATGTCTCCATTCAGTTTCCATGTAATTAAGACCTGAATTTACAAATTAATTAATCTGGAGCCATTCAGTAAGAGGGGAGAAGAATAAAGCAGCCTGATGGTGAATAGGTAGAAGGTGGTTCAGATTGAATGTGCCGGATAGCAGTCACTCAGGACGTGGGCAATTTATTCTCGGACCAATTGTGGTACATTTTGAGAAATCTTACTTCTGAAGCAATCGTCAATTTATGTGATTCTTTCTGCTCTTAAGCATGCTATGCAGGGAGCGTGATTAACATATATTTCTAAAATTTTAGTAAGGTATAAATTTATAAATTCTTAAAAGGTAAAAAATAATTTTTTAATAAAAATAAAATATTAAAATATTTTAAAATTTAAAATTTTTAAAATAGATTAAGAGTCCATCGATCTCTATTTTATACATCTCTGATAATTGAAACATGTTGCCCAATTGACCATTGATTGAAACATTTTCCAGTAAGAGTGGACTTAAAATTGAATAAAAAAATAAATACGATTTGTCGCAATCATTTTTTTCTTTTTTAAAAATATTAATCTTATTTAAAAAGCATTTTTAAGTATTCGACCTATCTAACACAAATATCGACGACAGTTTCAAACCAATTTATTTTTCCAAATCCGAACTTCACCCCATTCAATTTTAAAACTTAAGTCAAACTCCTCCCGCACCATCACGAGCCCAAGGAGCGTTATTGCATATGTTTCATGTCATACTCGTGTTATGTGTTCATGCTTGTGCTTTCTAGCACCCACAGGAAAGAAAAAAAATTAAATTAGGGGTTGTGAATATATAAAATCAATGGGAGACAAACTTATAAAATTTTAAGAGGGATGAAAATCGATTTTTAATAAGAATATAAAAAAAATTAAAATATATAAAAAAAATTTGAAATTTTTAGGGGCGACAACCCCCTCCCCTCCTGGATCCATCCCTTCACCTTAGTAAATTTCCATTGCAATCTTCCTAGATTATTTACCAGAACGACCGAGTCACCTGTGTTTATTAACCAAGTTTCTCTTAGGCTATTATTTTAAAGCAATTAGGATAAATTTGGAACACGATACAACACATTTGTTATGATCTGAACAAATTTATGAATAAGATTCAACAATATTGTCTAGCTTTAAAGCATGGAATGGGGTGTGTCATTCTCGGTTCTGATATGCTTCCTGGAAATATTGTTGAGAGTAGGGCAGCCGGAGAGGGCCATGGTGAGCTCAAGTTCATCCTTCAGCATTTCGATGACCCTTTTTACTCCGTATTCTCCCTTAGCTGCAAGCCCATACACAGCAGGCCTTCCAATCTGCAACTCTTAACATGTCAATCTCCAAGAAAGTACTAGGCAAACGTAATTCAAGCAACAGTGCTTCAATAGAGCAGGAAGCACGATAACACTTGCCAAGGAAGAGTGGGAGGGGAAGTTGAACACAGAATGAACTTACAAGGACAGCTTGCGCACCAAGAGCTAAGGCCTTGAAAACATGTGTTCCCCGCCTTATTCCTCCATCAAATAAAACAGGAACCTTTCCTTTAACTGCACCAACCACCTGCAAAGGCCATAGTGAAAAAAAATTTGTTCGATATATATCCGAAAAGCATGGAAATGGATGCTTAACGCAAATGTTCTTATAATACATGTGTTATCCATTTCATTTCTGGTTGGTGAACATATATTGTAGAGTATAACGTACATAAAAATAAATCTCCAATACTAAATTTAGAATAAACTTCAATTTATGTGGCTACAATCTGCACTCCCCTCAAGTTGGTGAGTATATATAGTAGAGTCCTAGCTTAGATATGAGCTCATCAAAGTTTCCTCTTGGAACGGCATTAGAGATGACATATATAAGTCATTATTGTGTAGGAACGTAGTTTAATTTAAATGAATTATTATTGACCTTCAGAAATAAAGTCTATCAATTTTCACTTGTTTGATTCTGTCATGGTGGACAAGATTTAAGTCAATGTTGATATAGGTTGGTTGTCACTTTGTACCTAGAATTATCCATTAAAGTCCAATTTCGATTCTTTTAAAAAAATTATATCCACATTTCTACCCAAATTCCAAGTGTTGGTGTTTGAAATTCTGCTTCAACACTACTTCTTGACACCCGAATTTGTTTCTTGCTTCTCCACATAACCAAATTTCCACAGACAAATGAGCAATAATCATTCGTGGATCTTGTCAGTTAACGCTCTAGTCCAGCTAACATCAAAAAGATTTCTACCTTGCTATTCTCACTCTTCCTGAAATCAGTTCCTATCCAGGTGTTATCGTGAGATAAATTCTTGTTGACTGCTCCAAGGTGTTCTTCTCTAGGAGCAGCATAAATTGGCTCAAGATGCTTACTGGAAAGCAATGTCTGGTCTCGTTAAAGATAAATAAATTAATTTACCAACAAGCCTTTAATATTGATCCGTATTTACCGGAATTCCCATGCCATCCTTCCTTAATTTTAATTTCAGATCCATACAAGTATTGGCTCGCTTGCATCACAACATACTAGTATTAGTGAGTAAATCCATTATGTACCTCCATTGAGAGAGAATGATTCCAGTTTTTTATTATTATTATTATTATCTATATACATCCATTCCCCAGGAAAAATATGAATGAACCAAGTTTTTTAGTTTCAAATTCAGTAGCCAAAAGACCATTTAATTTACTGATTTCTCTAGTGTAATTATCAGTTACGACGATATCATCCACGTATAGGAATACTTGGAGAAATTTTCAAGAATAGTTTCTAATCAAATTGACACTGTTTGTATCCATTTTTAACCAAAACTTTGGAAGATTTATCAAATCAAACTATTGGTGATTGCTTCGAGCCATACAAAGATCTCTTCAATTTGCATACCTTATGGGTTAGAGTTTATTTATTTTTTTATTTATTTATTTTTTATAAGACATGGGAACTTTATATGTAGACATCTTCAAAAGTATTTAGAGGGGTCAATCTTCGTTTACTGATAGTGACAACAATACTCGAACACTATTCAATTTTACTACTAGTCAAAAGGTCTCTTGGTAGTCAAATCATTAGGATTGCGTGAATATTTTTGTCACCAATCTTGCCTGATCTTTAAACACTTCCGTCCGAACTATGATTGACTGTAAATGTCCATTTACAGCCCATTGTCTTCTTCCTCAAAGTAGATCAGTAAGGACCCACGTATCATTGTTTTATAGGGCATTGATTTCTTCTTCCACAACTTTCTTTCACTCTGAATTTTCCATTGCTTCTTGTATGGTCTTTGGGATCTAAATTTTTTCAAGTGACATACTAAATGTTTTGAACGATGGCATTAATTTCCCATAAGCAATGTATCTCTGAATTTGATGGCTCGTGCATTTTCTAATACCCTTTCTTTGAGTAATAGAGAAATCAGAATTATCTATAAATGGAACATAGGTTTCGCTAGATGAAGACCCATACTTGTCTGAGGCAGTAAGATCCAATTACAATTCTTGGCATGCTCTGAGTTATGTAATATTTTAGGGGTCTCATTTTAAAAAAATAGCACAAGACTACATCTTTTGGGACGGGCCTGATCATCCCAAACTGAACTTGAAACATAGAAAGTTCATGTCTATACAAGGAGGGAGTATTGTTTCTTACAAAATAAAAAAATTCCAAACATGAAATTAAGTTTTCTACACTGAATTTTCCTCACACGCGCCTACAGTGGGAAAATTATTTTTTTAGTTAGCAGATTTTTTTAAGTGTGAGCCCTCAAATTCTGAGATCCTGTGACGTATCACAAGTTACAATAGCTAATGAACGGGCCTGAGGATGATGGTTGAGGAGTCTTGAAAGATGTCTTTTGTGGAGAGGTTGCTATTTTTTTATGGAAAAGGGTGGACTTTATTTTGATGGTTTCGAGTTCATTTGGATGGGATAGTGTTTTGAGTGGGTTGAAAAGGGTTGAAATTCTCACCAGTATTAGATTTGTCTTTCATTAAGAATGTCCGTATTGTCATAGAATGATCATCTATGAATGATACGAACCAACGTGATCCACTGAGGTTTTTAACTTCAGAAAGGCCCTAATATCACTGTGGATTATTAAAATTGGGAATTTGGCAGATATCACACAAGAATGAATTAGGGTTTTTATGAACAAGAAACTGTTTTGCAAGATAATGGAAACTGGGATATCCCAGCCTAAATTGCCATAACAGAATAAAACTGGAAAAGAATTTTGAAGTAAAAGAGGATGTAGAAACAGATTGAGAAGCGCAACTCGAGTGAACTTATCTTGGAGGAGGTTTCTCATTGAGTGTCTAGAGTCCATCACAGAACTAAACACTGACAATCACCTCCCTCGATTCCAGTGTTTGGAATTTACAAAAATTGGAATTAATTCAATGTAATATTGTCAATCATGGGAAAGCTTGCTAACAGAGAGAGGATTGCAGGCTAAGTGAGGAACATAAAGCACAGAAGAAATATAGAGATTCTGTCGCTTGAATTGTGATGATCCCTTAACTTTTAAAAGAGATCCATCTGTTTGTCTTAGTGTTTCTAAAGATTGAAAGATCTGGACTCTGGAATAGGCTGATATCACCTGTCATGTGATCTAAATCTCATAGTTTTCTATTTATGTGTAGATGTGTTGTCTGTTTGTAGAAGAAAGGTCACGGACGCCGAGAAGTATTCATCTGGCCGAGATGAATACCTATCGACTAAATTGGTTTGGTAAGGACTTTGTTCAGATCCTAAACTAACTTCCATTGATAAGGTGGGAGGATTCATCATGGAGTAGATTTAGGTGTGAAACCTAGCCCGATACCATGTCAAAATAGAGAAGACAATTTGAAACAGAGAAGAGATTGTATTCTCTGCAACTTTTCTCATACAAAATGACTACATAGGTTAGGCCTTAAATAGCCAGATTTACCAACTCTAACTAATATTCTATTTAATCTTATATAGTCTCTTAATTAGATAAGATGCAGAATAAACTCTAATCTTATCTTACATAGACTATACTTCCTTGCTCTTGAAAAACTAATTATTGAAAAATCCATTTGTCTTCATTCTTAAGGAAGTTTATTATATCTTTGAAGAAAGCATCAGATAACACATGATCAGGGAAGTATAAAGACATTACAACTATAGAAAGCTAGGAAAACATACTGAAAACCATAGCAAAGAAGACGCATAAGGGAAGAAACAAGGCAGTTAACAAGTATTTAACAATAACCTATATCATTTTATGAAGCGAGAACCAAGCAGCTTTGGGTGAAAAAACTTGGCAAGCACATGACTAATCTAAGAAAATAAAGAGTTAATGTCATTCGCAATGAAAACTAAACCAACATTATCCCTTTAATCAATTGAATTAATTATTGATTTTTGGAGTATTCAAACTTCGGTCTTACCCAACTGAATTGAAGTTATTTTTTTGGGTTTATCGGTTAATGATTTTTTCCAAATTTGGCTATCGGTTAATTAACTTAACTAACCAAAATTATTAAATATTTAATATATTACTTATATTATTTATATATTACTTAGCCTTAGGAGTGTTTAAAATTCGGGATTTTAATCAAACTAACCGACCAAATTAACCGAACTTCGATTAATGAATTTTAGGTAGTTTGGTTCAGTCGGTTAACCGAACCGACCAATTGAACACCATAATTAATTTTAGAAAGCTCACAAATTAATCTATCTATGGTTAAACACCTAAGTTTTAAGAATAAAACAAGAAAATAAACTGATATACAATTAATTTACAAATTTATCTAGTGAGATAAATAACTAGTTTTATTTTAAAAATAATAGACTACATATTCTTTTTGAAGTAAATGACTTTAGTGTTAAATAAAAAATTAACAAATTTTACTTGCGCATCATATTCGCTCATATAATCCCAAAAAATATGATTTTCCATGCATTAGCCACTTCCCATGCAAATGTAATCATGTTATAAATCTAAAAGCCGTTGCAAGCATTAGAGGTTTTACCTCTTCTAGAACAGAAATAGTTGATGGAGCATAATCTAGCTGGCGAGCCCCATGATTTGAGACGATAATCCCATCAACCCCTACTTCAACACCCTTTATTGCTGCCAATTTTGATATATCAAATTCAAGTGATTCTTTGTATGTCAACAAGTAAACTTAAGAGCAACAGAAAGGAACAAACAGCCTTGATTTTAAATAATTAAAAACTCTGAATGAAAATATTAACCTATGTCTACGGTGTTGCATATACGAGGAAATATTTAATTTTCCAAGGGAAGCAGATAGCACTAATCAAGCAAAGAGCATTTCCTATAGCATAACTGCATCATAGGATATTTCTAGTAGTTCATGATATGAGAAAGAGTAAAGCTGTTTATTTTTTTCGTACAAGGGCAGAACACTTGAACTACTAAGAATATCCAAACATATTCTACATTTCAAACCAAGCAAGTAAACTTCAAGAGGTAGCAATATAAGGTATTTGAATCCAGGAACAAAAAATTATAGGTTGGGCCAATATAAATATAATAAAAAAATTATCTAACTCAATTCTTATATATTTTTAATTTAAAAATATAGTAACAATTATATATATAGATATATTTGGATTAAATTTAGAAAAAGATATATTAATTGGACCGATATTTTTAACATAATTACACATATTTCTATTTAGGATAAACTATCTATTTGGTCACCTACCTATTGCTTAATTTCGTTTTAGTCACTCAACAACTATTTTTTTCAAAATCATATCTAACGTTACAATTTGGGTTTGTTTTGATCACATGCCGTTAAAACATTAACTGTGATGCTGACGTGACATTTTTAAATTATTTTTCAATGCTAACATGGCATCACCTTATGATGACATGTCAGCATCACCGCTAATTTTTTAAAGGTACATGACCAAAATAGAACCAAAATATAACGTAAGGTATGATTTAAAAAAAATAACAGTTGGGTGACCAAAACAGAAACTAAATAATAGATGGATGACTACTAAATAATTTACCCTTTTTTTGGGCATGGGATGAGCCAGCCTAGGTAGGCCCCTGTTTATCGTAGAGCATGAAGTTCAGCTAAGAAAATGGCTCCTTTCTAGAATTCCAAGGGATAACTGGTTTCAAAAGACCTATCTTTGTCAATTTAATAATAGAAAGAAAAGAAATAGCAATTGTTCTTGTAAATGCATTTCTATTTGAAAAAGTTGAGAATATCCATTTTCATCATTTACAATACAGCAAGGAACTATAATGCAACTAATTTGATGAGCCTCTTCTTACCATCTTCACGAGTAAGTACTCCCTTGATCAGAACCGGCAAATTTGTGATAGATCTTAACCATCCTATGTCCTGCAAATGTCGCAATGAATGGCGTCGAGTTAACATGAGTGGAAAAACAAGGATGCTTACATGCTTAATGACTAAATGAACTATGAAAGTTTATTTTTAATTAAACAACATAACTGTTAAGATCAGTCCTGCATATCCATCATTTACAACGAATATAAGTATGGGAAATATCAATTCCAAACAGCAGGTGAAAAGTTGACCAATCCAGTTTATCGGTTTAGATTTATACCTTCCAAGAAAAAGATGCATCAAATGTACTCTTGGCAAATGCTTCTATATTTGAACCGTCATCCTGTAAAAGTTTAATAAACTTGATGAATATTAAGGGCTTACAATGAATCTCAACTTCAACCAGAACTTGCAAGTTAGTTATATTCCGAGAAACTAAGACGGAATAAACATATATATTATCAGTGAACCCAAAGTTAGTACTGAGACTTTTGGCTTCGGAACACCAATACTGCCTCATCCAAGGCATATATACCCACATATGACACCAGGCCAAAATTGTCTCAAAAATATATTTTTTAAGAAAAGTATACCATAAACTAGATAACAGGAAACAAAATCACACTTTTTATGGGCATGGATATAAGCATTCCATATTTAGCAACAGTTGGGAAAATAAAGTATTTTCACTTGCACTGGAGACTGCAGTTGTTATGAGGCCTTCAAAGTTCTTCAATTGAGGTGCAACCATTCTGCAAAAAGTTTGAAATTATCAAACTTAGTAAATTTCAGTTTGCCGTATGTGTTAATGAATGAGTTAATGTTCTCTACAACATTGGGGAACAAAGTCTTTGCCCTATCCACAGCATAAAAAGAAGTTACATAAATCTGTCAAAATGAAATAAAATTGATAAAAAGGAGACACTATGTCACTTGTTCTTTATGTCTTTCTCCCTTCGACCAAGTCTAGGAGTATCAACTGTTAGGACGATGGCCTTGTATCCACATCTTTCAGCTCTCTGCACCAAAGTAGCTGTTATATCTCGTTTCTTGTATACCTGACCAGAAAAGGATAAATCTTGCCTTGGTGATTTGAAATCGGAAACAATAAATTGCTCTGAAAAATGAAGATTAATTAAAAATGTTGAAGCAAAAAGGTACATATATCTGGAAGAACCGAACACCATTGCAGCTTGAAGCAACCTCCTCAACGGTACAAGTAGACATGTAGGATAAAATCTGCATTCATAACACAATTCAGTACTCACATTTAATGCAATCTAGTGATCCAAAAACTGTTTATATTTTATATTATATTTGTACCATTATGGTATTACATGCAGCTGCTGCTCTTGCTGTGGCAACCTCACCTGTCAAAAACAAAATAAAAATAATAAAATTGGTACTTGAAATAGGAGAAAAGGGCAGCCTATGAAGTTCCAACCTTCAGGGTGTGCCAACTTATGCATAGCAGTTGGAGCAATCAAAATTGGTGCCGAAATTTTGTAACCCAAAACAGTTGTTGACAAATCGGTTCTGCTAACATCGACAAGTATTCTTGGCCAGATCCTGAGAATGGAAGTAACAAGATCAATAGAACATTTTACCTAAATTAATTTCATTACCAGGCTTAACAGCTTACGTAATTCTTTGGAATGCTTCCACATTTTCTCTTAGTGTGTGTTCATCCTCGGCTCCACCTCTATAGTAGTCATAGTACATTCTGGGAAGGGCTCGCCTAGCTAGTTCTTGGACCTCGCTAACATTAACTGGTTCACCTTCCATTTATCCTAGAAATAAAAATACATATACAGAAAAAGAAAAGGTATATGTAATTCTCCAAATTCTTTACTTTATATATTGATTTTATGTTAAAATTAAATCTCTAATGAAAAATTGAACTGAAAAGATATTGCTCATATCCTAAGATTCTTAAAAGATTCAAATTTTTTCATGAACACACCTCGATATGATATATATCCTTACCAATATAAAGACAGAATAGTTTGAGAAAAAGGCATAATGCCAAAATTAGCCCCCAACATTTTGGTTCCTATTCTTTTTTAGAGCATTTTACCCCCCCCCCCATGCTTCAGTTTAGGGCAAAAAAAAAAACTCTACAGATGGAAACTGTTAGTTAACACAAGATTAGAGCTCCAAAATAGGGGCTTTTTATCTTAAAATGAAACATTGAGGGCCAACATACTCCGAAAAAAATAATAAGGGCCAAAGTACAATTCTATAAAATGTTAGTGTCGTTTTGTCCTAAAATAAAACATTGGGATCAAATGTTCAAAAAAGAATAAGGACCAAAATGGTCATTTTAGTTAACTTTGAGGGCTAGTTTTGATATTATGCCTGAGAAAACTAGGGTTCATAAACAGCTAAAAACAGGTTTTATTCAAGGTATAGTTCGTGATACGAAAAATAGGCACAATAACAAATCTAATAGAAGATTACAGTAATTAACAAAGGTCATGAAGAATAAAATTGAATTTTAACAGTTAACATTGCCTATAAACCCAGTGGATATCTTATGCTAAAAGCCTCAAACTCTCTCCATGAATCATCAATCAAACATGATTAAAGATCAAAACGAAACTGAAAGCCAGAGCCCAAGTGAAGTTTCTTACACTATTTGCAAATTGTTTGATAAAGTTTACAAAGTACCTTGGAAGACTGAACGTTATCGACTTGACCCTGCAAAATCTCAGAAAACGAAAACGATTGCAATTCAAATACATGCAACAGTAGACAAGGGAATATGATTAATAAGTTTACCTTTCGGTCGTGCTGTTTCTGCTAATAGTGGTAGTTGTTTCTTGATAAGGCCTGTAATTGGCTTTTAGCAGAGGATAGGGATATTCTACCGATTTATCCGCCCAATCTCTGGACACCAACAAGGGTGTCCATGTTTCATAAACACCACTAACGATAACGATGAGTATCAATTTTATTTTGTAAAAATTTAAAATCCTAAAAGACCCACTATATAATTATAAATTAATTAAAAAATTAAAAGTAAAATATTTAAAATAAAAGATAAATTATATCAGTGACCACTTTATTATTATCTCTTTTTATTTTGATCATCATATTTGAAATTTTATCAATTAGGTCACTCAAATATTTACATCATTCAATTAAACCTCTTGCAATTAATATATAAAGAAGAAATTAATGTGGTAATTAAAATATTTGATATAATTACACATTTGGTCACTATTACTTATATATTCTATCAATTTGGTTCTAATTTTAATAAATTAAAATAAAAAAGAATTGATTTTATTCTATCATATATAATAATGATATATACATGGAGTATTATTTAGTCATCAACCTCGTCTTTGTCGTTATCAATTCAAGCATTATATCTTTCAACATATAAATACTGATTAAACAACAACATTTATATTTATTTTAATCTAATATGTCCATTCTATACTTTATAAAATTATTAGAAATTATACCGTCACAAAACAATGAATTATTATAATAATAAAGAAATGAAGTATATAATAATAAAAAAAATTATCATTATAAATAATTTAATTTTCTGGATTCTAGGATGCGGTCAAATTATTGAGAGTTATCTTAGAACAATATCATTTTGCTCTTACTCCAAATTAATATGAATTTTAAAAGCTTTTTCTTATCACAGCTAGAGAAAATTTCTCAACTAAAAAAAGATTAATTATGTACTTAATCACTTAAATATCACTTTGGTTCTGTTAGGTTATCTAATTAATTGATTTTCAAAATCTTCACTAATGTTAGATTTTTATTTCATTTTGATCATATACGGTTAAAAATTAACATAACTATTGACTTGACATTTTTTATTTTTTCAATGATGATGTGACATTCCCTTATGGTGACATCTTAACATTACTGTTAATTTTTTAACGATTGTTGATCAAAATGAAACCAAAAATGTAATGTTAGTGATGATTTTGAAAAAAATAGTTTGGTGACTAAAACGAAACCACGCGAATAATTAGGTGAGTAAATATTTAATTTACCCTATATTTTATTCAACTTGATTTTTTTTACAATTCTTTTTGTAAATTCTATCCTAAAACCAATTATTTATTTTTTTTATACTTTAACCAATACTTTATTCTCAAAATACTTTCTATAAAAATAAAATTATAATTATATCTAACAATTTTATATAATATTTAATTTTAATAAATTAAAATTAGGACCCAATTGATAGAATATATAAGTTGTTTGTTTTCCCGAGCATCATACAAAGGTCAATCTTATGTCAACTTATCTTAATTGATTTCTATGTTTGAATTGAGTTAACTTGTTTGTTTTCACATGCATTGGATACTTGTAGTTTATACGAACTCAAAACATCCAAGCCCAAACCTCCTAAACAAACAAATTAAATTGGCCAAAAATCACTGTGGCACAGTATCGATACCGACCCCTTGGGTATCGATACTCACCCTAAGTATCGATACCAAAAATAGATTCGATGTTTTGGAAAACGCCTTGATATCGATACTCCTATGGGGAGTATCGATACTCTACCCTGGGTATCGATACCGTGAGTATCAATACCAAATTTGGCTTTGATGTTTTCGAAAATGCCTCAGTATCAATATCAACCCTCTGAGTATCGATATTGAACCTCGAGTATCGATACTCCTTGAAGAGGTATCGATACTGCCCTTATAACATACTTGGTTTTTGCCTTTCACGAAGAACAATATCAGTATTGTTCTTCTAGTATCGATACCAACAGACTAGAATACCCTATTTTGGGCACGAAAAAGCCTCTAAATCTGACCCATACACTCCCCTAAGACTAGTAAAGTTTATTAAAGTCTTATTTGAGGTCTTAGAGGTTAAAAGTTATCATCTTTCATGCTTACAAACAATAAAAATTTATATTGCCATGAATTTACTCTAGCATGCTCACATGAACAAAACATACCAAAATGCACATACAATGACCTACATGCAGTATGGTTAAGTTAGAATAGTGTTACCTTGAGACCAAGCTACTGAAAAAGGTTAATAAATCACCCAAGAGTGAGCATTTCCTTTCTCATTGCCTTACAGCTCTCACCCTTCTCTTGCATTAATCAAAACCATGGAAAAATGAGTTATTAACTCATTTTAGAACATAGAAAGGTGTTAAAATGATCATACAACTCAAAACTCTCTCAAAAAGGGGTTAAACTTCAAGATTCCATAAACCCCTCTAAAACACATTTTTGGTTAACTTACCCAAACCTTGCAAAAGAGGGCTTAAATGGAAGCCTGGAAGATGAAGATTGAAGTTCTTACCTTGGAAGACTTAATGGAGGATTAGAAATCTCAAAGTTTTAACCATTAGCTTAACTTGGGAGAAAAGATAATGAAGAAGCAGAGGGGAAGAAGATAAGCATGGTGAAGAAAAAGAGATATGAACAAAACAGCCGTGATATCATTCCTTTAATTGGGAATTCAGCTTTAGTTTCAAAAATTGGTCAATTTACTCTCCTAATCCTTCCACAGTTTGGTCCAAATTAAAAATACCCTTTTTAAGGGTTGTTGGGCTCATCAATGGTCCAAATAAAATCCATTTGGGTCCAAAGCTTTATTAACTAAGGGAATTATTCTAAGGCCCAATCGATTAAACCCGAAACTCCTAACCCGTATTTCGGGGCGTTACAACTCTCTCTCCTAAGAAGAAATTTTATCCTTAAAATTTACCTGAATAGAAGATGTGTAGATACTAAAGTTGCATATCTTCTTTGGGTTCCCATGTCGCCTCCTCTACGCCATGATTGCTCCACAAAATTTTTACTGACGGTATCCTCTTGTTTCTTAGCTCCTTGACATCTCTAGCAAGGATTCAAATCGGTTCTTCCTCATAAGTCAAGTATTGTCTCACTCCCACTTGCTCAAGGGGGATAATGTGGGATAGATCGGATCGGTATCTTCAAAGCATGGAGATGTGAAACACGTTGTGGATGAGTTCAAGATGTGGAGGTAAGCTAAATGATATGCCATTGGCTCCACTCTCTCTAAAATCTCATATGGTCCGATGAATCGCGGGTCAACTTACCCTTTTTTAAAATTGATGTACATTTTTCCAATGGGAAACCATGAGAAATACCTTGTCCCCAACTGCGAACTCAATATTCTTACGCTTGATATTGACATACGACCTCTGTGTGTCAGAAGCCTCTTCAATCAACTTTGAATCTACTGAACTTTTTCTTCGGTTTCTTGAATCAAGTTCGGACCTACTATCTTGTCGTCACTAAACTATGTCCAACACAATGGAGTTATACATTTACGCACATACAAGGTTTTATACGGAGCCATCAAATACTTCACTGAAAACTGTTGTTAAAGGCGAACTCTACCAAAGACAAGTGATCTTACCAATTGCCCTTAAGATCCAAACGATGCACCTAAGCATATCCTTTAAAATGTGAATAACTCACTTGACTGTCCTTCTGTCTGAGGATGAAAGGTAATGTTATAATGCAGTTTAGTACACAAAGCTTCATGCAGTGCTTTCCAAAATCGAGAAGTGAATTGTGAATCCCTGTTGGATATAATCGAGATAGGAACTCCATGTAACCTCACAATCTCGTAAATGTAGAGCTGAGCCAATCTCTCTGACATGTAGTCTATACGAATCAGAAGAAGGTGAGCAGATTTGGTCAGTATGTCTACAATAACCCATACAAGATCGTGTCAAAATCTCATCATTGGTAAACCGGTTACAAAATCAATCTTCACTTTCTCCCATTTCCACTGCAAAATATGAATTGGCTGTAGTAATCCTGAGGGAACCTGATGTTTCGCCTTGACCTGTTGGCACACTAAACAGTTAGCAACAAACTCGGACACTTCTCTCTTCATGGCCATCCACTAATACAATGGTTGGAGCTCTTGATACATCTTATTGTAACCGAATGAATAGAGAGATTATTACAATATGCCTCATGGAGGATCTTGTTATGAAGCTGTTTATCGGATGACACACATAAACGCCTTCATAAAAAAGTACACGTGCATCACATAACTCAAAACCTAGGGCCTCTCCTCGGAGGACTTGCTCTACTCGGGCCTTTAAACGATCGTCCGAACCTTACAACCTTTTAACCTTCCCTACTAGCTCGGGCTCAACTCTTAACTTGGCTAACAGGTAACCCGAATTAGTCAAACTTAGGTGTGCTAGTAAAGCTCTCAAATCTAATACGGTATTCCTACTCAAAGCGTCAGGAACAAAGTTCGCTTTACTTATATGGTAGTCGATCACACAATCATAGTCCTTCAAAAGCTCTACCCATCTTCATTGCCTCAAGTTCAACTCCTTTTGAGTAAGCAGATACTTAAGGCTCTTGTGATCCGTGAAGATGTGACACTTCTCCCCGATTAAGTAGTGCCTCCAAATTTTCAAAGCAAAAACCAATGCGATAAGCTCCAAATTGTGAGTAGGGTAGTTTAGTTCGTGAGTCTTGAATTGACGAGACACATAAGCCACAAATTTTCCCTTTTATATTAGAATACATCCCAAATCATTTAGCAACGCATCATTGAATACGGTAAATTCTTTGCCTGATTCTTGTTGCGTCAAAACAGGGGCTAACGTGAAGATTTCTTTCAACTGACCAAAACTCTCTTGGAGTTTCTCATTCATACAAAAGGAACTCCCTTCTAAAGAAACTTGTTCAATGGTACTACAATCATAGAGAAACCCTTGACGAAACAACAATAGTACCCTGTAAGACTTAAGAAACTACACACATCGGTGACATTCTTAGGCATTCTCTCTCTAACACTGCCTTAATCTTTTGGGGATCTATGTGGATACAATCGACTGCTAAAACGTGACCAAAAAATACCAATTCGGTCAACTAGAACTCACAC